CTATGCGGCCACGTATTGGTCAAAGAAGTCGCCTAAACATCCGACTTGACTGCGAATGAACTGGTAGCTAGAACTCACGGAGGCGAGTTTACATTTAAATGCAGTATGACCAGGTAGATACTCCATGAAGCAGCGAAATGTTCCACTAGTTCCCCAAGAGAGGGATAGGGGTGGGGGGATGCATTGCATCATTTAAAACACAGACTAACGGTAAAGATTACCGAGCGGTAAAGGGGCGATATCACTTGTCCAAAGTCGCCATGTACACATTAGAAACTGGACACCAATTTGCATGGGACAAAACTTGCATTGTTGATTCTCGTCCATACTAGAAAGGCCGCGAGTTTTTAGAAGCCATCAACTCCGACGCCTCGTGCATCAACAGGCACGTCGAATTGGACGCGATGTACACCAACCTCAGGGAAGCATGGAAGAGACAGCAGCCTACGCAGACTAGAGGAAGCAAAAACCAGCCCCCGCCGACCGCACAAAGATTACCATGTTTGCAACATGGGCAAATCGATTGTAGTTGTCCACAGTGCTCCACAACCTCGAGCAGGCATGACGATTCTCCCGTCCCTTCCGTCCGACTAGGAAGTAATATTAGCAGTTGAAGAAGCTGATTGCCTTTTTGAACCTCCTACCGACCTTCTTTAATATTACACTTAACGACCTATCATAGTGTTCCAGCGTATGGTCTGAGAAAAAAGTAAAAGTAATAGGGCCCTGGCTTAACAATTCCTCTAGTGAAAAATTCATTTTACCATACTCCCAGCATAGGTATTAGCTAAAAGCTCAGACACATGTTTCGCCTATGTTTGTGCTACTGCATGCCACAGCAACCAAGTTTTTGGCTCCTTAGCGTGTTCCCCAGCGTTCTCTATGCGTTTTGTGATATTTTAACGCCAGGGAATAATCCTAATTGGGCTACTCGTGGCACTACTTGTTTTTATAATGGATAGTATGTGGTTATTCTGCAGCAGTTGATTTTCTTCGACTCAGATGTTCATTGAAATCGCGGATCTGACCCTAAAAAGTAATTTTCCGGTCACCTAACTCTAATTAATGCAATTAATCATCTTTGAAATGATTCCCTTAATTCCTCTAGTCCCTCTCCTTGTATCTCTCATTTATCTATAGGCCTCTGCTTTTTTAATGTTGCTACAATGACGTGGAACCCTTGTCACTAACCTAGAGCACTGAGTTAGAGTTAGATAATCGATTTGGGTTGCTATGGCTACCATCCATACGGGTCAGGAGGGGAGGCTGGGTTACTTTTTTTTATAAATACTGACCCGTAGTATAGAGACGAGAACAAAAGCACCATCTATTTGACTGTGGGGTTCTTGTTATGGTGGTTCTTTGAGGTCAGAGGAGCAGCACATAACCACGGGCACGGATAAGGTCTTTATGCAGTTCACTCGAGGACAACCTATATACTGCCCCCGTTCACGTGTAAATGAAGTCAATTTTGATAAGACTCAGACTGATCACTGTCTAGTAGGCAGATTACACATGCAACAGTTGTGGACTCTTTTTGCAAAAATGTCTGCTAGATAACGGGAATTTAGCTCGTCAAGTGACCCATGGACGAAAGTATTGTACAGGTGAAAAAGTCTTCTAATGGGTGAAAGTCCTACCAAATTCCACATAGTAGTGTCTATGCCCACAGGCGCTTTCAGTTAGAATAAATCAGGTTGCCGAGACCGGCAGAAACAATGAACGAGTTAGGCTGTTTATTCTATGGGTCATTGTAGTCTGAATCAGCGGGACCTGTTACAATGACTCACTTCAAAACTATGTTGGCGTTATTGAGGACTAGATTTGTGTTCTGGAGTGAATAAAGCACAATTAATACTGAATAATTGAACACTATCGAAATCCATTGGACCGACAGTTAAAACACAGACACTGCATGAGTCATCGAGGGCCTCGCAGAATTTCTGAACAGTATGGGACAAAAGCCTTGGTGAAAAGAAGATTCCTCACGAAGCCACCAATTCTTCCTACAGACGGAGGTATGACGTAGTATGTGTCATGCCCTCCACTCCCCACCCTACACGAATTGATTTTTTCCTCTGAGGTTCTGAGAATATCAGGGCTTTCTAGCAATAAATTGTACTCCTGACCAATAGATGAGGAAGTTCAAAGGCTCACTCTAAAGCCCAGAGCAAGACTGCTTCGTTGGTTGACCCAGTAGGCGTGTTGTCGCACTATAAACTGCAGTGCATTCGGCCCTGTCTCCCTGAGTCCTCTATTGCGCGTAAGTAGTAAGATTACGGAGATGGCGGTCCTTTATTTCTCTTGACGTAGCTCGCCTTACAAGACTTGTTATACACTCCAGAAGGCCATTATGGGCTGCGACTACACAGAGTGCCTCCAGAATGTAAATGGACACAATAACTTCAAGGTTTCCGAATTCTTCAGCAGCAACTACTCCATAATTTTCTATAATAATTTAAGAATAATGTTTAATTGGCTCTTCAATCCAGTATTCCTTTTCCAGTCTTTTTCACTGCAGTTCAGTTTTATTAAGGGAAAGGTGGGCGAAGGCCTTGGAACTTCTTATTCGTACTGAAGCTGTTATTTTGAGTATGTACACGTTTTTCAGTCAGCCTGTATTCGGGCGCTTGGCTTGGTCGGGTCATGAATGAAATAATAGTGCGTAGGTGAGCGTGAAGCAGCTGCTGTCTCATCATCCCGTATATTCGTCACTGAAAACTCAGCAGCGTATATCTTAAAGCTAGTTATAATTCAGTGGAAGTAGTCCACATCTTTTGCCGACACCAGACTCTGTGATGCTGGATTGGGGCATATAGGGTAGCCAAGCAGATGCAACAGTACGAACATCGATTCCGAATTTGCCCACCGTGTGCTCTACATCGTTATGGGGGTGGTGTGCGGGGGCGGTGAATTACGCGTGGATTAGATTTAAGTGGTCAGAATATGTGTGTACCCATGAACTTGTAAATTATACCTCCAGGACCACATGCAGGTCGGGACGTGTGG